AAGTTTTCTCTCCAGTATGGGTTATTTTATGCATAAAAGTAATACATTATATGCATAGGCTTTATTACTATGATAAAATTAACAAGATTTCTCTCTACTATGGGTTCTTTTGTGAAATAGGTTGTTTCTTGTGAAAAGGCTTTCTCACACTGATTATATTCATAGGATTTCCCTCTAGTGTGGGCTACTTTATGGATTTGGAGATCAGTGTCTTGGGTAATGGCTTTCTCATACTCATTACATTCATAGGTTTTCTTTACCGTGTGGGTTACTTTATACTTAGGAGATTACTACGATGTGCAAAGGCTTTCTCACATTGATAACATTCATAGGGTTTCTCTAACGAGTGGATTATTATATAACTTAAAAAGATCATTATGATATGCAAAGGTTTTTACCACATAATTTACATTTATAGGGTTTCTCTCTGATGTGACTTCTAAAATGAATTTGGAAATGAGTGTTGTGAAAACACTTTACAATGCTGATTATATTCATAGGGTTTCTTTCAAGTATGTGTTTGGAGAGCAGTGCTATATATATAAAGGCTTTACCACAATGACTACATTAATAGGAGTTCTGCCTAGTATGGGTTCTTTAATGATTTTGGAGGACTCTATTAAAAAATGTTTTCCCATGTAGATTTCATTCATAGGGTTTCTGACCATTATGGGTTATTTTATGAATTAGAAGACTAAATTATATGCATAGGCTTTACTACATAGATTAAAACTCTTAGGACTTCTCGCTAGTATGTGTTCTTTTATGAAATTGGTTGTTTCTTCTGAAAAGGCATTCCCACATTGATTACATTCATAGTGTGGGTTATTTTATACCTTAGAAAATATCTATGATATGCAAAGGCTTTCTCACATTGATTACATTCATAGGGTTTCTCTACAGGGTAGGTTATTTTATAACTTAAAAGGATTACTATTATATGCAAAGGCTTTACCACATTGATTACATTCATAAGGCTTCTCCTTAGAATGTGTTCTATTATGGGTTAGGAGACTACTGTCCTGTGAAAAGGCTATACAACATTGATTATATTGATAGCATGTCTCTCTCGTGTGGGTTCTTGTATGAATTTGGAGATGACTGTTATGAAAACACTTAACCACACTGATTACATTCAAAGGATTTCTTTCCAGCATGGGTTATTTTATGCATGGAGAGTCTTATATGCATAGGCTTTACCACATTGATTATACTCAAAGGGTTTTTCACTAGTGTGGGTTATTTTATGCATTAGAAGACTGACATTACATGCATAGGCTTTTACAATGTTTAAATTCATAAGACTTCTCTCTACAATGGGTTCTTTTATGAAACTGGTTGATTCTTATGAAAAGTCTTTCCCACATTGGTTATGTTCAAGTGGGAGCTATTTTATAAATTCGGGAGCAATGTGTTGGGAAATGCCTTTCCAACACTGACTACATTCATAGTGTTTCTCTGCAGTGCAGGTTATTTTATACCTTAGAAGGTTACTATGATATGCAAAGGCTTTCTCGCATTGATTACATTCATAGGGTTAATCTACAGGTTGGGTTATTTTATAACTTAAAAAGATTACTATGATATGCAAACGCTTTACCACATTGATTGCATTCATAGGCTTCTCTCTACTAGTACAGGACTACAGTCCTGTTAAAAGGTTTTACCTAATTGATTACATTGATAGGGTTTCTCTCCAACATGTCTTATTTTTTACACTGGAAAACTTATATGCATAGGCTTTACCACATTAATTACATTTATAGGGTTTGTCTCTGATGTAAATTATAAAATGAATTTGGAGATGAGTGTTGTGAAAACACTTTACCGCACTGATTACATTGACAGGGTTTCTCTCCAGTATGTGTTTGGACACCACTGTTCTGTATAAAGTCTTTGCCACACTGATTACCTTAATAGGGTTTCTCTCCAGTTGTGTTTGGACACCACTGCTCTGTATAAAGTGTTTACCACATTGATTACCTTCATAGGGTTTCTATCCAGTATGGATTCTTTTATGCCTGTAATGATAATTGGCACAGTTAAAAATTTTAACACATCATTGCCTATCCATGCAGGACCACTAGTAATTTCCACCTGCCCGGTCTCTGACCCCCACTGCTGGTCCTCTACTGGAGTTCTGGGCGCCTCCCAGAGATCTGCCTATCCCAGCAGGGCCACTCTAAGTTCTTATAGGCTGCATCATTGACCCCCAACACAGGGCCTCTGTTAAAGAGGCCTCAGCTGGAGAGTGCCAGCTGACCTTGATCTGCCTATTGGTGTGGAAACATGCTGAGTACCAGCCCAGTCTTTGACCCCCCCCCCACTGTCTTTGACCCCCATTGCCAGGTCTTGACTAGAGGTGAGTCTGGGACAAATTTAGGTGGACTCTCCCCTACACCCTTCCCCAGGAAATCCCTGGGTTGGCCCCAGATCTTGCTGCCTCTGTGTCCTGTCCCTATCCAGAGTGCTCTAGGAGCTCTGATACACACCACCCCATCCCCACCAAGAGCCTGCCCTCCCCCTACCCTGTGCTCTACCCTGCCCACTGTCCCACACTGGAGCCAACAATCCAGCCACCTTTGGGGAACTTTCTGGAGCTGCTCTGAGCACACTAGACCTGCCTATCAATGCAGGACCACCCGTAATTTCTACCTGCCTGGTCTCTAACCCCATTTGCCAGTCCTCTACTGGAGTTCTGGGCCCCTTCCAGAGATCCGCCTATCACCACAGGGCCATTCTGAGTTCTGAAGGCTGGATCCTTGACTCCCATTGCAGGGCCTCTGCCAAAGAGGCCTCAACTGGAGATGCAAGGCCCAGTATAGATCTGCCTATCAGCATAAGGAACATCCTGAGTCCCAGCCTTCCATACCTTTGACTCCCATGGCCAGTCTTCTGCTGGAGCCTGATCTTTGACCCCCATCACCAGGCCCCTGCTGTGCAGAGACCTCCTAAAGTGCTTGGATCATCCAAAGCTACAGACATCGAACCTCTGACCCACCCAAGCCCACCTGGAAAGCACCATAGAGAGAGGGAGAGACCCCCACCAACACCTACTGGAAGAAGCTAAGGGGAAATAGCAATACAAGAAAACACCTAACAACAGAAAGACAAGCATAACACTACCAGAATCTATGGAATGTACACCAACTAGACCAGGATACAACAAAGCAGATGAAGCAGAAGAGAACGACTTAAAAATTATCATCATAAAAATCATAGAGGCCTTCAAAGAAGATGTGAGAAAATCCCTTAAAGAAATAGAAGAAAAAACAAACAAAAAAGTTGGAAGAAATGAACACATTTTTTAAAGGAAGTACAGAAAACCACGAAAAAACAATTAAACGGGTGAAGGAAACAGTCCAACACTTGAAAACTGAAATAGAGACAATAAAGTAAACAGAAACAGAAGAATGCTGGAAATACTGGGCAAACAATCAGGAACTACAGATTCAAGCATAACCAAAAGAATTCATGAGATGGAAGAGAGAATCTCAGGCACGGAAGATAAGCTAGAGGAAATAAAAATTTAAAACACACAGGCACTCTCACACACTTCTGTGCTTGGGGAAATGCCACGTGTTGAGTGTCACTGAAGGCATTCCTTGCTAAACTGCTGCTCCAGGTACTTTTGTTTGGAAAACCTATCACAGTAGGTTACAGCTGTTTAGTGGATGAGCAGAAAAGAAAGATATGCTTATGGCAACAAGAAAGTTTTAAGGTCTTTCAAATTGTATAAATGCACGTGTGAAAACGTTAATGTGTTCTCAGTATGCAAAGTTGGAACTGAAATGTGATATCAAACCAGTTGAAAAAAGTGTACAGTAACCATCTCTGGAGGTCACACCTGGTGCCCAGATAGACAAGAAGGCTTCGGCATGCATAGCATTTTGGCCTTGTCCATATTGCCACATAATCTGATCATGTGTGAATTTCCCAAAAGATTCATATCGTTCTGCCAGTTTGGTACTGAGGATATGCTAGTATTCCTCCTGGACCTTATCTTCATAGTCTTTAAACAGAAGCTCATATATTATTCCCACTTTTCAGAGGGTAAAGGTGGGCTGGTCCTTCTTCATCCAGAAAGAACCTGGAGAACTTGGTGACATAAGTGCCAAGGAGGGAGGCTGGCTTTCTAAAGTACAGGCTTCACTCTGACTGAGAACAATCTAATGTCTCCACCCCTGATAATGGCTATATTCTTGCTTTATGTTATGAAAAACTTGCTCATGACTTGGAAGGCAATGCTCACTGCCCAGCATGGCAGATTGCTAGAGACTAGTCAGCAGCATCTGCATCAGAAGAGGTGGCAGATTGGAGACCAGGGGACCAAAGACCCTGAGTGGGGCCAGGCAGAGGGGCACAGCATCTCAGCTCAGCATCACCACCTGGAACTCCATGGGCCTCTTTAATGCCGAACATGTCATCACGTGGAAGGGGACAAAGACAACACACAAACACGGTAACAATGGCCGTCCAGGACCCAATCCCCAAGCTACTGCTCCCAAGCCAAGCCAAGCCAACCCAGATGAAATTCCTGACTAATGAATAATAATAAAAAGTATAGTCTTCATGGTAAATTGAATATTTACAATAAATGGAGCATATCAAGGTTCTGAACTGTACCACCACTGCCTGTCCTCTATGGCTAACTAGTGTGGCTAAGCTTTGCATGCTGATCTTCAGGCAAGCTTTACTTGATAGATCATAAACAAAATATTATCAGTTACCTTATCATTTATATTCACAGGGCTTGTTTTCATGAGTTTGCAGGTACAAAATACAGACATCATAATGCTTCAATAGGTTGTTGACAAACTGTCAAAATTTCTTCTCCAGAATACACTTATGCAACTTAATGGAAGTGTGTTGGCTAAAGATCTTACCAAATACTTAATAGTAACAAGAGTTTCAGAATTAGTTTTTTTCAGAACTACTGACTCAAAGTCTACTACAATATGCAAAAGCTTTAAAAGATTAATTGCACACAAAAAGTTTTACTCCTGTATAAAGTACAAAAACTTTACCACATTGACTACATATATGTGGTTTCTCTGCAGTGTGATTTTTTCACATGATTTTTAAAACTATTGATAAATGCAAAGGCTTTACCACATTGATTACATTCATATGGTTTCTCTCCAGTATGTATTCTTTCATGCCGTTGAAGATGACCAAGATATGCAAAGGCTTTAGCACATTGATTACATTCATAGGGTTTCTCTCCAGTATGTTTCCTTTCATGCATTAGAAGATTACTGAGTTGTGAAAAGGCTTTGCCACATTGAATACATTCATAGGGTTTCTGTCCAGTATGGGTTCTTTCATGGCATTGCAGAGAACTGTGACACGCAAAGGCTTTATCACACTGATTACATTCATATGGTTTCTCTCCAATATGTATTCTTTCATGCATTAGAAGATGACTGTGATATGCAAATGCTTTGCCACACTGATTACATTCATAGGGTTTCTTTTCAGTATGTGTAATTACATGCACTTTAAGATTACAAAGTTGTGAAAAGGCTTTACCACACTGATCACAGGCATAGGGTTTCTGTCCAGTATGGGTTCTTTCATGGCGTTGAAGAGAACTGTGACACGCAAAGGCTTTATCACACGGATTACATTCATATGGTTTCTCTCCACTATGTGCTCTTTTATGCATTAGAAGGTGATTGTGACGTGCAAAGGCTTTACCACATTGATGACATTCATAGGGTTTCTTTTCAGTATGTGTAATTACATGCACTTTAAGATTACAAAGTTGTGAAAAGGCTTTACCACATTGATCACATTCATATGGTTTCTCTCCAGTATGTATTCTTTCATGCCGTTGAAGATGACCACGATGTACAAAGGCTTTAGCACATTGATTACATTTATAGGGTTTCTCTCCAGTATGTATTCTTTCATGCATTAGAAGATTACTGAGTTGTGAAAAGGCTTTACCACATTGAATACATTCATAGGATTTCTGCCCAGTATGGGTTCTTTCATGACGTTGAAGAGAACTGTGACACGCAAAGGCTTTACCACACTGATTACATTCATATGGTTTCTCTCTGGTGTGTATTCTTTCGTGCATTAGAAGACGACTGTGACGTGCAAAGGCTTTGCCACACTGATTACATTCATAGGGTTTCTTTTCAGTATGTGTAATTACATGCACTTTAAGATTACAAAGTTGTGAAAAGGCTTTACCACACTGATCACATTTATAGGGTTTCTGTCCAGTATGGGTTCTTTCATGGCATTGAAGAGAACTATGATACGCAAAGGCTTTATTACACTGATTACATTCATATGGATTCTCTCCAGTATGTATTCTTTCATGCATTAGAAGATGATTGTGACGTGCAAAGGCTTTACCACATTGATGACATTCATAGGGTTTCTCTCCGGTATGTGTAATTACATGCACTTTAAGATGACAAAGTTGTGAAAAGGCTTTACCACACTGATCACAGGCATAGGGTTTCTGTCCAGTATGTGTTCTTTCATGACGTTGAACGGAAGTATGAAATGCAAAGGCTTTGCCACACTGATTACATTTATAGGGTTTCTCTCCAGTATGTATTCTTTCATGCATTAGAAGATTACTGTAACGTGCAAAGGCTTTGCCACACTGATCACATTCATAAGGTTTCTCTCCAGAATGAGTTTTTTTATGCCTTAGAAGATTACTGTAGCTTGCAAAGGCTTTACCACACTGATCACATTCATAAGATTTCTCTCCAGTATGGGTTTTCTTATGTGTTTGAAGAAGATTAAAACATGCAAAGGCTTTACCACATTGATTACACTCATAGGGTTTCTTTCCATTATGTGTTCTTTCATTACACTGAAGATGACTGCCGTATGCAAAGGCTTTAACACATACAGAAGGTTTCCCGTCAGTTTGACTTCTTTCAAACCTGCAAGGATAAATGGGACATGTAAACACTTTACAAAATTCACTATACTGTTGAATGTTTCTATTGTATGAATTAATTTTACAGTTTGGTCCAATTGCAAAGATGAATCAGACCTTAAGGTTTTTATCACTGTGATTACACTTATGTTCCCCTTCATTATGGGTTGTTTTGCATCTTTGAAGATACCTGTGATTGTAAGATCATTTATTACGTAGTTTACATTTAAGAATCTTTTTTTCTGTATGAGATTTATTACATATTTATAGAGAACTAGAGAAACTCAGAACTTTACTGTTGTTCTTTTGATGTAACTAATGCCTATAAAACACAAACACGAGACTCAGCGCCCACGTGGAGTTTATTGAGAGAGGGGAGAGAAAGAGGGGGTAGCTGATGGCCAACCGAAAGCAGGAGAGAGAGAGAGAGGTGTGGGGCACTTGCTTTTAAAGGGGACTTGCACATGCGTAACTGAGTCCTCTGGCCGCCAGGTAAAGCCAGGTAAAGCTGACGTAGGGATGACACGGCCATGAGCATCCCGCCCATCGTTGGGGCGGGGGTCAGCTGGCTGCTAGTTCCTAACATTTACCACTCTTACTGCATTCATAAACTTTCCTATACTATGAGTCATACTGCATTTGCTAAGTGAACTAGGACAAACACAGTATTTCCATACTCCTAGTATTCCTAGAGCTTTTCTGCAGTATGAGTTTGTTGATGTGTTAACAATGAAACTTGCAAAACCAATTACTTGTATACTGGAATCAAATTCAACAAGAATACTCAATGTGAGGATGGCTGCATATTTTCTAATTGTTCAGATAGAGAGGTGTGTTACATCTTCCCATATCCCTATGCTCCTATGGCTTGTATCCAGAGTGAGGTATGATAAACCTACTAAAAGAATAACAAATAAGATGTTTCCACATTCAATTCACACAGTTTGGACTTTCTGTTCTCATAGATTTGTGGTATAAGAATTAAGGTTTCTCTACAACAACTGCCCTTTCAATCTTGACTCTAACTGCACCTCTCACTAAACTTAGCACAGTCACAAGTATACGAGTAACAACAGCTTTACTATGGACTATTTGCTTATTAGAAGGCTTTGGACATATACACTTCTCACCTCTTCAATGTGTATACCTTTAGAAAAATGTGAGTAGTATGAAATGAATGGGTTGACAACTCTACAGCATAGTTATCATAGTACTATGACTCAAACGCTGGTATCTGATGAGGCATCGCTTCCTTGTCATCTTTCTTTAAAGAATGCCTTACACATGTAATTCACCTATCTGGGATTAAGGTATATGATTGTGTGAGAATTTAATAATCATCAATGTACTTCAAGCTGTGCTTATTTACACTGTTGGTATTTTTTAAAAAAAAAAAAAACTTACAGGACACATTACAATTTCTTCAGAGACACATTTCTATCAACTTGCACATAAAAATTACCTTGAATGTCTTCTATAACTTTGACAATGTTCTTCAATATTGTGGTCTTCCCAACTGTATCCTAAAATATAGTACCAGACAATGTATGTTACATTATTGAAAATTGTGAAACATTTCAGTTACTATCGTCAGTGTACCTTAACACCATGCCTGATTTATTCAGCTCGTTCTTCTTCTTTCTCAATCAAATTGCAAAAGATCATCAATAAAATAGGAACAGTTGCCCCCTTATTTCAAAACATGAAGGAAAACTCAGTCTTACCTATAGCAGTGAGGTTCCTGTAGGTCTCCAGCATCACATCTTTGTAGAGTCTCTTCTGGGAAGGATCCAGCAAAGTCCACTCTTCCCAAGTGAAGTTGACATGCACATCATCGTAGGTTACAGTATTCTAAAATATCCCATACACATATACAACAGAAAGTATGATACTGACAACATTGTAAATGTATACTTCTTTGACAGTATAGCCATATAATTCTGGCTTATTCCACTTATTCCACAACATAGACATTATAATGCAATCACCAAGTCACTTTATTTAGAAGGAAACTGAATAGTAGGTTACCTGTTGACTGTACCCTTTAAATGGGATATCACCTTGCAAGAGAAATACATATTAACAAACATAAGAAGTAAACAGATGAACAGTACAGAATACACTAGAGAGAAATTATCTGAAAAACTACTAACTACAAAAAAAAAAAAAAAAAAATAAGATGAACAAATTGGGTGTACTGGCTCATGCCAGCACTCAGAAGGTGGAGGCTGCCATATCTGCCTGTGAGTTGAATGCCAGCCTAGTCTATCCAGTAAGGTCCAGGACAGCCAGACGTACATATTAAGACCCTTTCTTTTACGCAAAAATCAGTCAAACAAATAGAAAGAACCACGAGGTTTGTACTGAAGCTCCTACAGAGTTATGATGGGGGATGTCCTGTATATATGTCTCTCTTATTGGTAGATAAATAAAATACTGTTTGGCCAATAGCCAATAGAGGCAGGAAGTAGGCATGGCTAGGAGACAAGGAGAATTTTGGGAAAGGTAGGCAGGGAGAGCCCACCAAAAGAGATGCCAGGAGGGGCTGGAGAGATGGCTCAGTGGTTAAGAGCACTGACTGCTCTTTCAGAAGACCTGAGTTCAATTCCCAGCAACCACTTGGTGGCTCACAACCACCTGTAATGAGGTCCAGGGCCCTCTTCTGCATGGAGGAATACATTCAGGCAGAACACTGCATAATAATAAAGAACCCCAGTAACCGAGTTATGCATTCATTCCAGTTCTGTATACATTTCTAGAAACCTGAAGTTACCTAATTTGAACTGTAACATCAAGATTTTACTAAAAGGCACTGCATGTTTAAACTGTTATAGGGCAAGAGAGATTGCTCACTAGTAAAAGAGCTCTTGCTCATCTTATACATAGGTAGGGTCAACTATCATTACTTACATGGGGATTGTAGTTGGAGATTTCTGTTTCGCCATATCCTATATCCCTTCATCCCAAAAAAACATACACATGTTGTATTAATTATGAAACTGATTGGCCAATGGCTAACCCATTTCTATTAATCTATGTATTGCCACGAGGCTGTGGCTTACCTGTATTCCATCATGTTATTCCTTCAGCAGCATGGTATCTCTCTCATGGCTGTGTCTGCCTTCCTTTCCCCCACCTTCTCCTGATCTGGTAGCTCTGCCCATGCTTCCTGCCTGGCTACTGGTAAATCAGTGTTTTACTCATCAACTAATGAAAGAAACATATACACAGAAGGACATCCCCCATCAGTGGATGACAACTATCAATTATTCCAAGGTCACTGTTTCTGAGACCATCTTTTGACCACTGTTGCGACTAGGTATCCACAACGGTGCATGTACATGCATACAGGTAAAATATTCATATTCATTTAAAAATTCAAGACAAGACCTGGCTGGTGGTGCACATGCCTTTAATCCCAGGGCTCAGGAGGCAGAGGCAAGAAAATCTCTGTGAGTTTGAGACCTGCCTGGTCTACAAGAGCTAGTTTCAGGACAGGATCCAAAGCTACACAGAGAAATCCTGTCTCAAAAAACAAAAACAAACAAATTCAAAACAAATACAGCAGGCGGGAAGGTCGTGCACCTGCAATCCAATACTTGGCATCCTAGGAAACAGAATAATACCCTATACCAAATTTTAAAATTCAAGATATGAGTGGAACTCAGTACAACAGCATATGCTTGACATACACAAAAGCCTACATTCCAGGTCCATCACCCAATAATATAAAAACAAAAACAAGTCAGGAATGTTGACCAACCAGGACTTGGGAGCCAGAGTCGGGGGAGCTCTGAGTTAGAGGCTCTGTTGTACAGAGCTACTTTCAGGACAGCCAGGGCTAGACAGACAAACCTTAACAAACAAACCAAAAATTGAAACAGCAGGCAACCAAACTGCCTTACTACTACATAGCAATTTCTTCCACTGCATCTTATGTTATTTAGAGATAGAGTCGATAATAGTGGTGAAGGCATGAAAACAAAAGAAGGAACCTAGCTGATCAGTCTTAACCACAACACAATGAGCACAAAGAACGGGAAATGGGTTGAGGCTACAGAGACTCATATTGCACCCCCAATGAGGAATTTCATCCAGATAGGCTCCTCCTACTAAGAGTTTCACAAGCAATTAAAAGAAAGTCACTAAAGAGAGACACAAGTTCAAATACAAGATCTTATCTGGCAAGTTTTTCATTCAATCAATTACATTCTGACCCAGATTATGAAAGGCTCATGGTCAGCCATGAAGGAAATGCATTTAGTCACTTCAATGATCCTCATAGTCTGCAACAGCTCCTATACTGTTCAAATGTCCAAAGTCCCTTCTGATACTCAAGACAATGGCTTGACAGTGACATCTTAGAAAATCAGAAAACAAGTTACATCTTTTCAACATAAAATGGCACAGAATACCATTCACATTCCAAAAGAGAAATGTTGACAGTGAGGGAAGACTGGACCAAGGCAAGACTGAAGCACGGCAGGACAAACATCAAATCCTGTAGCTCTGTCTCAGATGCAGAGAGCTTCAATTACGAGGGGCTTAGATGGCCCTATCCCTGCAACTTCTCATACATATCTCTCTTTGGTTACTTCCACTCCCAATATGCAGCTAGGTCTTCATGGAAGATGTCTAATAGCTTAGGTATCTCAATATTTTGTGGTCTCTAAATGTATGCCAGGCTGTTGTGGAATATTATTTTAAGATGTGTTATATTGTTTTATACTATGGAACATCTGTTAATGATGCAATGATGTGGTACGTTCTTTTATGTTGCATCTGTTTAACTCTGTGAAGCTTTGATATTTTGCCTGTCTAAATACCTGATGGATCTAATAAAGACATGAATGGCCAATATCTTGGCAGGAAAGGATAGGCAGGGCTGGCAGGCAGAGGGAATAAACAGGAGGAGAAATGTGGTGGGAGGGGGAGGATAAAAGGGCACCAGGAGCCAGCCACCCATCTACACAGCAAGTCATGGAGTAACAAGTAAAGAAAGGT